GTTCCTGCTGATCAGATTCAACAAAAACAAAGAGTAGCAAGAAAGAGAAAGGTATTGGATAACTTTTCTGTAGTACATGAGATATATTTTCTTTGGCTGTGCCGATTTACTTCTTCTTTTGTTTCTGGGTTTGCTTTAGATTTCTGAGCTGATGAATCATCATAATCGAGATTGCATTGAGGAGAATGCTACACGGGCAAAACATGGTATAGGTAAGGGTTTGATGACAGTGTGGCGGGCGATGAATCCAACTGGCGTAATTCCTCCTGGAATTGATATACCTGAGGAAAGAATAACATTGCATCAAAGACCATCACGAAAATCTCAACCTCAGAAGAAAAAGCAAAGGCAGCTAGCATCAATACTGGTAAATAATTCTGTGTTTTTCTCGTTAGATCATTTTCCTTGTCTGTATGTTGGTATTTTTTAAATATCAACTAACAGTAATTGCATTTATCAGAAGCAGAAAATGTTGCAGAAGAGTTCAAGGGAAAAGAAGTGTTCTATAAATAGAGAGGTAACTGAATCTTTGTTTGCAAGTTTGTAGTTTTGTATCATCCAATTCAATCATTAATTGTGAGACTTGGTGCAGGTGGAACTCCACAAAGATAAAACCCGAGTAGCTTGCAAAGAAAATTGTGAACTTTCCCTGGATGAGGAGGTATCTGAAGAAAACCAAGAAAAATTTGCAATACTATTGGATGATGAAGAGTTGGAAATGAGGGAGCTACAGGCTGGAGCGAATCCATTGACATGTTCAGGCCATCATCCTAGCAGCGGACTACATGTTTGTTTTCTTTGCAAAGGTTCGTATTTCTATTAATCTCCCAGGTCATCCTCAAAAAATTTTAAATCCATTTGAGGGTGTTGTGTATGTGTCACATGTCATGGCTTTCTCTAAGCATTTTGTTGTTATTGCCAGATTTGCTACCCAAATTTCCCCCAAATTCTGTCAAGATGAAGCTGCCGTTTGGTATGCATCCATGGGATTCTTCTCCAGAGTCTGTGAAAAAACTATTTAAGGTATGATGGTTATGGGAGTTGGGTCTAGGACTCTAGGTGGTTTTTTTGTGTTCTTAAATTAGCTATCACCTGACCAATTTGCTAGTCTCATCCGGTACTTCTCTTGGCAGGTCCTACATTTCCTTTATACCTATTCAGTAGCTCTGGACATGCATTATTTCACACTCGAAGAGTTTGTGAAGGCATTTCATGATAAGGTGGTCTCTCTTAATTTCGTTAATAGACGTGATTGTATTTTATCGATATAGAAGACAGTTATTTCTTTGCCCTTTCTCTCTCTCTCTCTCAATATTTTGGGCATAACAAAATATATTGACTTCTTTTATTTTGCTTGTCTTTTTACCTCAGGATTCTCTGCTACTTGGTAAAATTCATCTTTCCCTTCTAAAGCTGCTTGTGCTTGATCTTGAAACTGAGCTGCAAAGGGGAACTTTCACAAACTTAAGTATATCATGCAAGTTTCTAGCATTGCTTCATTCGGTATGTACAAATGGCCAGCTGTGCTTCTAAATTCTGTTTCTGTTTTTCTTGGATTACAAAATCTGGTCATTGAGCTGTGGTTAATCCTAGGTGTATTGGACGTTGTTGCTTCGTTGCATTTGATTCCCTTCTCCAGCCTTATTCATCGTCTGAAGTATAAATAAGGAGCACCGTTTAATAGGTTGTGTCGTTTTCCTTTGTTTTCAGGTTGAAAGCCAAATACTTATTTTAGATTTGTGGAAGGATTCACTAAGTCCATTAACATGGACTGAAATACTGCGTCAAATATTGGTTGCAGCTGGTTTTGGTTCAGCTAAGGGTGCTGTTCGAAGAGAAGAACTAAGTAAGGTGCTGATTTTTCTGACCTTTTTACTTTATAACAAAATTGTCAGTTGACTTTACTTGCTTTGTTATTTTTTATTTGAGATAATATGCAATTCTCCTGTCCTATCTTTGCATCTGGAATTTGAAAATTTGCTTGTACAAGTTGGATTAATTACAGGGCAGAACAGTATAGGCTCTTAGTTATTGGTTTCCACATACTGATATTTTTCGTGTTTATTTTGTCACAATACTCTTCTGGTGAATATGAGCTTGATGAAGCGTAGTTTTCTTATCCCTGTAGGAAAGGAGACTCTTGATAAAGCATGGCCTTTGTCTTGGAACCTTAAAGGGCGAATTATTTAGACTGCTTTTTGAGCAAGGCAATAACGGTTTGAAAGTCTCTGACCTTGCCAATTCGGCCCAGGTAACCCTCTGAAATTGAATTTCTAATTGTAAAATAGATGTATCATGGACAAACATTGAAAGATCATACCTGTTAGGGTTTTACTTCCACACACTAAATTTCCTAGGTGACATCTAATTAAACAACTGATGTTGTACAATTATGAGAATGAGTGTTATATATTTGGAATTGAAGGTTGCTCAGCTGAATCTAGCAACTTCATCGGAGGAACTGGAGCGATCAATATCTGCAACTTTAGCAAGTGATATTACTTTATTTGAAAAGATTTCCGGGTCAGCATACCGTTTGCGTGCTAGTTGTTTCTCTGAGGATCCAGAAAAGAGCCAGTCTGATTCTGATGACTTTGGAAGTGTTGATGAACCTGAGGATGACTCCTCTTCTAGTTCAGGTGATGATTCTGAAAATCTTGCGCTTAGCAAAATCAGGCATAGGAGCAGACAGAAGCGTAAAAATAAAATTCTGGATGTCAATACTGAGATTGATGAAAGCCATCCTGGAGAACCATGGCTGTTAGGCTTGATGGAAGGGGACTATTCAGATCTAAGCATTGAAGAGAAGTTGGATGTTTTGGTGGCCTTGATCGATATTCTTAGCTCAGGTTCCACTGTCAGAATGGAGGTAATACGCATGCTATCTTGACAGTACTTTTTGATTTCTTTTGAAGCTCTGGTTTAACATTTTGGAATCTGAAATCTAAATCTGTCCATCTTTCCACCTCTAGTGACAGCATGAGTAGGCAGACTTTTAACATCCATTTCATTTGGTTTGGCCATTTGACAAAACGAGTTTCTGTCCTATAAGGGAGCCTGAATTGGCATTCTTCACCTTGGAAACCTTGAAAATTGAGCAAGTGTTTTTGCGTTAGAATATAGGTATTTACGGCAGAGTGGTTCTAAACCTTCTGTTTGGTATTATTGGTTGGTGCTAATGCTACTGATGATCTTACATGACAGGAATCAGCCAAAACTAATGTTGACTGTGTCCCAAGTATATATACTCGCGGTTCTGGTGGAAAAATTAAGAGAGGCTCATCAAATCAGCACAATTATCCACGTGAATCTTGGGTCCATGGATGGCAACTTCATAGTTCTAAAGGAGAATCTATTTCTGATTCTCGTCCAATTGATTCTTCAACAGTTGCTGGAGCCTTTGCTAAGCAGACTGGAGATAAGGCTGATGGTCACCCTATGCAATCGGTATATCTGGGTTCTGATCGTCGATTCAATAGGTATTGGCTTTTCTTAGGCCCATGCCACACAAATGACCCTGGCCATAGGAGTGTGTACTTTGAATCTTCTGAAGATGGTCACTGGAAAGTTATTGACAATGAGGAGGTAATGTTTTCCTTTGCTCTTGCCGAAATCACTTTTTTCCACTGTCTAATTCAACTTTTGTCAAAGGTTGTCCGATTGTGTGGCCAACTTTTCCGTCTTTGACTTTCTTTGGCGTAGGTTTTGCGTGCATTGCTATCGATTTTGGATGACAGAGGCACACGGGAAGCTAATCTTATTGGGTCATTGGAGAAACGAGAAGCTTTTCTTTGTCAAGCAATGTCGAGTAGACAGATGACTCAGTCAGATACGTCAAGATTTACAGATGTAGTCAGAGAGGATAGTTCTTCTCCAGTTTCTGATATAGACAACAATCTATGTCTGACTGAGGTTGCGAATAACCATTTGTCTTCTCCACGTGGGGCTATAGTTTTCGAGGTGGAAAGTAAGAGAGAGCAGAAGCTGAGGTGGATCCGTGTTCAAGAGTTTGATGACTGGATATGGGCTAGCTTTTATTCTAATCTCAATGCTGTAAAATACAGTAGGAGATCATATCTTGATTCACTTACTAGGTGTAAGATTTGTCATGATTTGTATTGGAGAGATGAGAAGCACTGTAAGATTTGCCATGCTACCTTTGAGCTCGATATCGATCTTGAAGAAAGATATGCTGTGCATGCTGCTACATGCAGGAAGAAAGGAGAGGATGATTCATTTCCCGAACACAAAGTTTTGCCGCCGCAGTTACAGTCCCTAAAAGCTGCAGTCCATGCAATTGAGGTTAGGCATTTTACTCATTTTCTTGAACATTGATTTATATTAGCTCCCTTTTATAATTCTCTAATTAAAAGTTGCATTTCTTAGTCTGCTATGCCTGAAGAAGCCCTGATTGGTGCATGGAGAAAGTCGGCCCGTAGATTATGGGTCAAAAGACTTCGAAGAACATCATCTTTGTCCGAGCTTTTACAGGTACCCATTTTATTACACAAGCTCTGTTCTTACCTCAATTCACATCGATAATTTTCTTGAATCGGCTCCATGGGGTAACACACATGAAATGATGATATGCTTTGAAGGTAATTGGAAACTTTGTCGGTGCCATCAACGTAGATTGGTTATGGCGGTATGATGATGATGGTGATGATGATGATGGGCATTCTCACCCTGTAATGGAAGAGATAATTACTTGCTTCCCCTCTATTCCTCAAACATCATCCGCCGTCGCGCTCTGGCTGGTGAAATTGGACTCCTTAACTGCTTCCTACTTAGAAAAGTTGCAACCAGAAAGTAACCAAGAGAGGAGGACGAGAAGTACAAGTATGTATGAATATAAAACTCCCCACCTTACCTTCCTATTTATAGAACCTCATCCATGCGTCAATGACAATGAAAATTCCATTTCTTTCCCGTTTTGTGCATCGAAACTTCGAAAAAGAATCTGGTTGACGGGTTTTGTTGCTAATCGGAGAAAGCTTTTTCGATGTATTTCAGGTAAACGGGCATCGAAGCTGTAGTTTACGCTCTTTGTTTCGGGTTTCCGGAACGAGAATGGTAAGAAGATTGTACAGAGAGAGGAGCTGGGTTTTTTGTTGCTGTGGTTCTTGAGTGATTCCAGTCCAGATATTATGTACAGACGTTTTAGAATATATATATATATATATATATATATATATATATATATATAAATATATAGCGAGATCTCATAAATCCCAAACACTCAAATTTTGAAAAATCTGATTTTGTAATAGCAGAAGCAGCATATGCATTGCAACACTACACACTCTTTCAACGTTGTATACGAATAAATCTTGCTCTGATTTTGTGTTTGAAATCCCAGTTTTTGGTCCTTCACACTTCTTGAATCATACGGAAAATATGCAGCGTTGCTTGCCCACTCTTTCAACGTTGTATACGAATAAATCTTGCTCTGATTTTGTGTTTGAAATCCCAGTTTTTGGTCCTTCACACTTCTTGAATCATACGGAAAATATCCAATCCGAGGGAATTTGAATCATGGAAGTGATTTGAATCAACAGTGAAATTAGGGTTTTCAACTCATCTCTTCTCTATAACTTCGCCGACTCAAAGATAGATAAGATGTCGAATGGGCTCGACTCATGGGATAATTCCATATTTTTCTGAATTGGATTTAAAAAATTTGAGCCTGAAAAAAAGAGTCAAATGAGTTCTCCCGAGTTAGTAAAAAAATAGTTTTTTAATTTTCAATATTTTTAAATATTTATAATTTTTCTTAATACAAAAATTGTGTTTCTAATATGTATTTGACTTGTTTTATTTAAATTTCCAAAATTTTATTGTATTTATAATATTTATGATATTTTTTTAAATATGTATTTGACGAGTGAGTCGTTTAGTTTGGTTCGTGAACTACGGTGAGTTGGGTAAACTAAATAATTTTTAACTCGTCAAAAAATAAGTCGGACCGAGTTAAACTAAAAAAAAATCTAAGATGGAATGGGTTGAGATAGGTCGGGTCTGGCCAATCTGTTTTATACCTTACTCGTAGGTAATCATTTTGGATTTCTATCCGAACGAATTCAACTATTTTGTACAAAAACTATAACCTTTTAATTTTTATATCGCAAATTCAATTCAATTTGATCCGTTTTAGTTCGGTTCAAATTCGGTATGTATTGATAAAAATATTGATTTAAAAAAATCGAATTTTTTATTTATATATTTTATTCAATTTATTCCGGTTGGAAGAAGTCACATCAATTCAAAATTTATACGAGATTCAATTTAATTACGATTATATATTATTCTATTCAAAAAGATTATTAACCAAATTGATCACCTCTGTTTAGGTCTTTGAAAACATAAAATGATTATTTTTATCGATAACGAATCGAAATGAATCGAACCGAATATATAAACTAAACAATTATTATTTTTCTAAAATAAAAAATAACGAACTTAATATACAGAAACGAATCGAATACGAACTAAAATCCGAAATGGCCACGGTGCCAACCTTCAAGCGCTCGGACATGTCCCGCACGTGCGAAATGCTATCTCCAAAATTGCAGACATGCCCTTTATAACTACAGTATGTTTTCCAATTCGCCGATACTATATGAAGTTTCAATTCAGTCCTTTTCTACTAATTTAATGGCTTCTCTTCTGCCTAGCGTGCGCCTAAACCCTGCTTCCGAACGATCAACGGTCGACTACGCTTCGAGAGAAGCAAAGATTGAAAATCCGAAGAGCCATCTGACTCTCCGTCGTAAAGCTTCCAGCTTTGGAAACGGAACGATGTCGAATTCTGAGCCGCGCTTAAAACTCAGGAAGAGGGTTCGAGAAAAGAGAGAAGAAGCCCTTGAAGATATGGAAGATCTCTTCAGCGAAGGAGAAACCCAGAAAATCAGGGTCTCTTTGCTTGATTGGTACGACAAGAACCAGAGAGATCTTCCATGGAGGAGGAGAAGGAGCGAAAACGGGGAAGAGGAAGAAGAAGAAGGTGAGAAGGAGAGAAGAGCTTACGAGGTGTGGGTGTCGGAGGTGATGCTGCAGCAAACTAGGGTTCAGACAGTGATGGAGTATTACAAACGTTGGACGCATAAATGGCCCACCATTGATGACCTAGCTCAGGCGTCGCTTGAGGTGAGTTTTTTGCAGATGGGTTTTGTTCCAAAGCTTTGTGTGCTTTCTTATTGAAGGTTTTTGCTTTGTCGGCCTCTACAAAGGAAGCCCTTTTGCGTGCTTCTCTGTGCATTTCCATGGTTGTTTGGAATGATAATGGTTAACCAATTAGCCGTGGCTCGGTGATTGTTATTTGCGCTGGGAACAAAACATCTCGACCAAGATCCCTTCCTTGAATCTTTCTGTTTGTTGCCTGTGTTCCAGTTTTCGTTTGGACAAAGAATCTACCTTTTCTAAAGCTAGTCAGAGGTGAAGAGCCTGAGGAAAAGGTTGAAAGAGTAGCTCCTTTCATTTTGTTTTTGTTTTTGTTTTGGCTCTGAGTTGTCATGAGTCTTATATTCGAACTCCAACCATAGACGTAGAAATCTTGCTTGCTGTGTTATCATTGTGAACCAGAACTTTGTTTCCTCGGTTTTCTCTGTACTGCTTATTGTTTAGTTAGGGAAGACTATACCCTATGACTTGCAAATGAAAGACCATTTTCATTTCGATTATTATTACTATTTGATATTTTGTTGAATGCTGTGCAGGAGGTAAACGATATGTGGGCAGGATTGGGATACTATAGGCGAGCACGTTTTCTGTTAGAGGTGAGCAATTCAAACTTCATATATCCTTTCTTCATCTACTTCGAATGCCTTGCTATTTTATGGCCTGTGGCCTGTTGGATCGAAATGATGCTTTTGGCTGTGGTTGGCATTTTCATAAGCATGAGGTTTAACACTTTAACAATCACCATATCATCTTTAAGTCAATGTTAATTCTTGATTTTTGTTAGGGTGCTAAGATGATTGTTGCGGGGAAAGAGGGATTTCCTAATCAAGCTTCAGCCTTGCGGAAAGTTAAAGGAATAGGAGAGTACACAGCTGGAGCTATTGCCTCCATTGCTTTCGGCGAGGTATCACCATCATGAAAGTGTGACTTCTGTTGATATAATACATTGACTAAGTGAACGTTTAAAGGCTTTTCTTGGAGTTTCCCCGTTCCAGGTGGTTCCCGTAGTTGATGGAAACGTGATCAGAGTGCTTTCCAGACTAAAGGCCATTTCAGCTAATCCAAAAGACCGAAATACAGTGAAGAACTTTTGGTAAAAATTTCTCCAATTTCTTGGATGTTTCATTATTGTTCTGTAACGAGAGTAAGAATGAAGAAAGATTTATGTGGAATTTCTGTTTACCAGGAAATTAGCTGCTCAGCTAGTGGATCCTTCCCGTCCTGGGGATTTCAACCAGTCTCTCATGGAGCTTGGTGCCACTCTTTGCACTCCTCTGAACCCAGGCTGCTCTTCTTGTCCAGTTTCTGTTCAGTGCCGTGCATATTCACTTTTCCAGCAAAATGGGCGTATTCCCGTGACAGATTATCCAACAAAGGTGGTAAAAGCCAAGCAAAAACATGACTTTTGTTGTGTCAGCGCTGTTGAAATTCTGAATCAGGAGAGAAACAGATCAGGAAGCCGATTTCTTCTCGTAAAGAGGCCAAATGAGGGTCTCCTTGCTGGTCTGTGGGAGTTTCCTTCTGTTATATTGAACGAGGAAGCTGATTTGACCTCGAGGAGGAAAGAAATCGACCGTTATTTGAGGAAAACGTTTCAGCTAGAACTAAAGAAAACACATACTGTTGTTTCAAGAAAGGATCTTGGGGAATTTGTCCACATTTTCACTCACATACGCCGTAAAGTTTATGTGGAGCTCTTGGTTCTGTGTCTTGAAGGTATGACTTATGTCTCCTTCTTTCTTGATCTCTTCCCCACCTAGCCCACATGAGAAGTTTAATACGCAATCTCTCGCTGGAGTAGTATAAACAGCGAATTATCTTCTCTTTGATGAAGGTGAAACAAATGTGTTGCTTGAAGAACAGTCCAAGGACACTCAAACATGGAAGTTTGCAGACAGTGATGTTCTTTCTACCATGGGATTGACATCGGCTGTGAGAAAGGTAACTCTTTTTCTCTCTTGGATGTGGAAATGTGACATATATTGGTTAACAGTACATGATACGTTCCATCATGATTCGATTATCTTGGACATAAACTAGGTAACTCTAAAAGGCAGCATCTGTTCTTGACCTGGAGTATGCATAATAACACCTCATTCGTTGTTACATCAAGTGCAGGTGTACTTAATGGTTGAGGAGTATAAGAAAGGCTTATCTCTTGATTCCACCCGGTCAAGTAAAACAATTACGTCGAGGTCGAGGGAACGTAACCTATAGTAACCTCCATCATCATGACCTGTGAAAAAAAGTTTCCCCATTTGGACAAAAAGCATGGGAGGAAAAGAATCGGGAAGTATACAGAGTGAGTCTTGGAGTCTCTCGTAAGTTTTCATCAGATGAGAAGATTTTGTTTGGGATTGATCGATTGAGATGATATCTTGGGTTTGTAATTGAATGAATCCACATGTTGGTGTAGAGTTCTTTTCTTTTTCTTTTCTCAGGTTGCACCCTGTGTAAGACTCTGACTGCAAACACATTCAGCAACCCAGATGATGATGATGATGAATTCCTGAAATATTCAACATTTTGATTGATTCAACCACTATATACTTGTGGTTGCCGAGAAATTCCGGCAAAAAAAAAAGGCTTTTTACTTGTATTAAAGAGCAGGGTTATTCATATGATGCAGTGCAGTCAGGTAAAGGATAGATTTGGTTCAATCTCCTGGACCACCCTTTTGTCTTTTATCACATGTTTTATTCACTTAATAGTTCAGAAAATATATGTATATAAGCAAACAACGCTGGGGAAAATTATGAAAACTTGTGTGGCATAGATCAACCATGATATATATCCCTTTGAGAAAGTTTCTGTGGATGGTAAGTCTTCATACCCCCTCCTTCACATTCACAGACCTTAAACACCCTCTGTTTGGATAAATCAAGAACCACTAATCTTTCTAATGGTATTGTGATGATGATTCAGACCAACTGAAAATTGCAGAAACAGATCCATCGCCATTGGAAGAAGCTTTTCTGTGTTCTTTGCAAAGATGGCTACTTTGGGAGGAGGAGGAGCAATTGGAGTTCCGAGCTTCTCTCGTGTCTCCATCAATACACGAACTCTTGCTTCTTCTTTGTCTCTGTCACTGCCATTGGTAATAATAAACATACGCAGGTGTATGTATGTATATGTGTACTGATTCCATCAATGTTAGAGAATGGTTTTTAAGTTTCTTTTCTTTTTGTTGTCTGAAGCCAAGTGTTAGTAAATGGGACAACGAGTTGCGGTGTGTGGTTCTCTGTTCAGCAGTACAAGAATCTTCTGCTTCTGCCTCTGCTTCTGCTGGTTAGTTCTTGTTAATGCAATTTCAGGTTTTACTATCTGCATGGAGCTTGTAAACTAGTTTTGCAGAACATGTAATTTGCATGTAAATCTAGGGCTAGAAGCCCGCCTCCAAACTCGTGTTTTCGCTAATGTTTCGATCTCGATGGATCAGTAAAGAACTTTCATCAATACAAATTTTTGTTTTCTTCCGTTTTTATTTTGCTGTTAGTTCGTTTTCTCGGTGTTGAAGCGTTAGAAAGTAACTTTCTTTTGCTTGCTTAGTTGCCACGGAGAAGAAGGAAGAGAAGGGAGACGAAAAAAGAGAGGTAGAAACAGAAACAGAAACAGAAGCAGCACCAGTGAAGAAGCCTAAACCAGCGGCTTCGGCAGCAAAAGCAGCTGTGAAACCATTGCCACAGATGATGGAGGAAGACGTGATTCCACCGCTTAAATCCATTCTTGAATCCCAAGATGATGTTGCTGATATCGAGCTATCTTTCCAAGACAACAAGGTCTTCTAAAACATTGAATATCATTACAATCAAATCGTACTTTACTTTTGATATTCATATGTCATCGATCTCTAACTCTGTTCGAAAAGGTGGTTTCAACAGCTGGAAGGTTCTTTCCTGAAAAAGGGTATTCCATACTCGTTCTGGGCGTTCTTCCCGAGCGGAAACCTCACAGGTACGTTGGTCATTCTCGACACGTTGAGCATTGTTACAGAAGAAAACAACAGAATCTTGAATCCGTCTTCCTAAAGCAGTACAGAGTCACAAAAACATGAGAGAATCTTGAATCTGTATCGTCACAACATCATAAGAATCTTGAGCCCTTTTCTGTAAATATTCACTGAAAACATCAGAGAATCTTGAATCTGTTCTTCCCCCCTCCCGCATTTCGGATTCTACAAAAACTGACAGCAGAATCTTCTCGGATTCTTGGAAACATCTCTAGAACCGAAGAACTGAACGTATTTTTGAATGGTTAAACAGGAGCGAAGGGCTTCTCCATCTCATCCTACGGCTCAGGAGCAAGCACGGTGGAGCCATTTCTGGTGGACGAGAGGAAACTGACAGCAAACCACGTCGTTTTCTGGGTAGAGAAACGACTGGCAGCACAAGGAATCATTCCTGTGTGGAATGAATGAATGAAGGGCTTCCTCTATCTCTTTGTATATTTTCCTTATTCACAAACATTTTCTTTGGCTGATTTCTTTTTACAGAAATGTGAATGGTAAAACATTTGTAGAAGTTGTGAGACTTCAAGTGAAAAATATCACATTTCATTAGGCTGCACAAGTGAAACTGTAGAACTTGTGAATGTTGAAAATAATGTGTGAATGAGATTGTAAAAGACCCATTTCATGTGACAATATTTTTTTTTTAAAAAAAAAGACATAAATTTTTGTTGTAACCCATAAAAGTGAATTTATTTTGACATTTTTTTGTTTTGTTTTTTGGAAATCCCTTAGAAACTCTTTAATTTACTATTTTGTAGTCTTAAAATAATATATAAATTTTATTTTTTATAGTAATATATACAGCACTTGTTATAAATAAAATATATTTATGGTGGAGCCCACCATTACTGTTCACACCGATTTACTGTTCATAAAGTTTTATAAATTCTTTTATATATCGGTAAATTAATTATAACGTATTTGTTTCCTCAATAATTAGTTAATTATATACATAGAATGATCAATTAATTTTACAAAATAGTTTAACAATTCGTTTTGATAAATTATTTTATGTATAGTTTTATGATATAAATTGGTAAAATCATTTATAAAAATTTTCAAAAAAAAATCTCCAACGGCTACAATTAAAAAAAATAAATAAAAAATCAAATTTTGGCTCATCCCCAACCGTTAGGAATAGTAAATTTTACCCTATAAATACACTCACTCACGAAATTTTTTTTTCTCAAGATGAATTTTATTAAAATTCTCTTTGTTCTACCAGTTTTAGCAGCAACGTTTATCATTTTCTTCGACAAAAGTCCCGATCCATTTCTGTTTTCAATTTGCGTTGCGATCTTACCTCTTGTTTACGTATTATTAATTATAGCAATTTATATGTAATCATGTATTTCGCTATGTTGTCTTATCCATGATAATGAATAAAGCTAATGTATAACTTATTTTTTTTTTGTTTAGTCATAATGGCAAGAATGACAAATATCGAGTTCGAGGTCCTCGACATATCGGGAAACAATTATTTATCATGGCAGTTGGATGCTGAGTTGCATCTCGAATCAAAAGGTCTTAGTACCACTATTAAAAAAAAGGTGCATGAAACGAGAATAAGACAAAGACACTGATACTGTTGCGACATCATCTTCATGATTATTTAAAAAAGGAATATTTGACAATCAAAGATCCTGCAGATCTTTGGTTAAAATTAAAAGACAGTTTCGATCATCAAAAACGGTGATCCTCCCCAAGACAAAATATGAGTGGATGCACCTCCGATTTCAAGATTTCAAGATTTCAAGAATGTCAGTGAATATAACTCGGCAATATATTGAATCATCTCGATTCTAAAATTATGTGGAGAAACAGTTACTGAAAATGAGATGTTGGAGAAAACTTTCTCTACTATGCATGCTTCGAATATTATACTCCAACAACAATATCGGAAAAAAGGGTATACAAAATATTCGGAGCTTTTATCATGTTTCCTATTAACTGAACACAATAATGAGTTGTTAATGAAAAATCACGCATCATGACCGACTAGATCTGTACTATTCTCGGAAGCGAATGCTACAGAAAACAAGTCATTCACTGAAGCAAATGCTACAGAAAAAATATCATTTCCTATAGTGAATGCTATGTCTTATTATAGCCGAGGACGTGGTTATTTTCAAGGTAGAGGCCGAGGCCGAGGTCGAGGACGCGGTCGTGGTGCTAGCCGAAGATGGATCAGAGGAGGTGATCAATAGAACAGTAACTACGGTACTGTTCACGCCGACCATATACGTTAACAGTAACTTCGGAATTTCTATAAATATTTGGGTTCCTCCATTTGTACACTTTCGAGAGAGATCAATAAGAAATATATTCTTCTCCATTCTCCTAAAATATCGTTTTCGTTTATAGTTAACGATCTAATATACGGGTCGTTTATATTTTCCCGATTTCATGACAAGACTGAACATTTGTAGAATTCGTGAGACATTATTGTTTAGTCTAAAATAATATATAAATTTTAAATATTTTATAAAATATAAAAACATAAATTTATAAATAATTAAAACTTAAACCGCTCGTAAGGGAGGTAAAATCCTAGCCTTTAGATGTGTGAACTGACGACGATCCCAGCACCGACACAATGTTATATCATGTGCTGCGTCGGAGACGATTAAAACCCAGACCCACGACTTCTCGATCTTCGTTTTCTCGCTCTTTGCGAAGGCATCAAGCAAAGGAAGAGAGAGATTGGCGACGCAAACAAATGATTTTCAAGTGACTTGGCAGCGAAACCTAGAGGGAGAGAGAGCTTCGTCTTGCATCTTTGGATCTGAACCGATCAGCTTCATTTTCCGCTCTGTTGAATCGCCGCGGTACTTGGATCTGAATCAGGTTTGCTGCATTTCAATTCTTCCATTCCGCGAATCTCTGAGATCTGTTCACTTTTCATTTTGGCATTTGATTAGAATTTTTGTTTTCTAATTGACAATCGCTTGGTTGGAACTCAGCGGTGTCAATTAGGTATTAGTTTTTGTCGATGATCTTATAGGATCTGATTGGCCTTGTTGAATCACCATCGACGATTTTGATCTGGTGATGTGAGTTTTGCCTGATGCCGAATTTGCTCGATCTGTTGCATGAGCTCTGTATCTGATGATTATACATACGTTTTTTTTTGCCCCTTGGTCCTTGATTTGTATGCATGAACCTTCACCGTGGACATTTGTTTCTTATGTTGAATATTTGATGGCTGGCATGTATGGAAGTGCATTGCATGAATTGGGCGGCAGGACTGATTTTTTAATCATTACGTATGTTACAGTTGGGTGAATCAAGCTCTGCTGGAAACTAGAGTTTCTCGTTGATACAACGACGAGGAAAATGTTTGGTACTTACCGGGTTTTCCTCTTGCTGGTGTTTGTTGGCCAACTTTGCCATGGGTTTTATCTGCCGGGAAGTTATATGCACACTTACTCAAATGGAGACCCCATCTTCGGCAAAGTAAATTCCTTGACTTCTATTGAAACCGAGCTTCCTTTCAGTTACTATAGTCTTCCTTACTGCAAACCTCTCGGAGGCATCAAGAAAAGTGCTGAGAATCTTGGGGAGCTCCTTATGGGGGATCAGATTGACAACTCTCCTTATAGGTTCCGGATGAACATGAATGAGTCTCTCTACCTCTGTACCACGAGCCCTCTAAATGAGCATGAGGTTAAGCTCTTGAAACAGAGGACTCGTGAGTTGTATCAAGTTAATATGATTCTGGATAACTTGCCAGCTTTGAGATATGCAAAGCAAAATGGGGTGACCATCCAGTGGACTGGGTTTCCTGTTGGATATTCCCCACCAAACAGCAATGATGATTACATCATCAATCACCTCAAGTTTAAGGTCTTGGTCCATGAGTATGAAGGCAATGTCATAGAGATAATTGGCACAGGGGAAGAAGGTATGGGAATGATTTCTGAAGCTGATAAAAAGAAGACTTTGGGCTATGAGATTGTTGGATTTGAGGTTATTCCTTGTAGTGTTAAATATGATCCTGAAAAGATGACGAAGCTTCATACATATGACACTGTTTCATCTGTCAGCTGTCCACTGGAGCTTGACAGGGCGCAGATTATAAAAGAGCAGGAAAGAATATCCTTCACTTATGAGGTTGAATTTGTTAAGAGTGACATAAGATGGCCATCCAGATGGGATGCCTATTTGAAGATGGAAGGTGCTCGTGTTCATTGGTTCTCCATCTTAAACTCACTTATGGTGATCTTTTTCCTTGCCGGTATAGTTTTCGTCATATTTCTGAGGACAGTGAGAAGGGATCTGACGAAATATGAGGAATTGGACAAGGAAGCTCAGGCACAGATGAATGAGGAGCTTTCTGGTTGGAAACTTGTTGTGGGAGATGTCTTTAGAGAACCGGAGTGGTCGAAGCTTCTCTGCGTGATGGTGGGAGATGGGGTGCGGATTTTGGGGATGGCCATTGTCACCATCGTTTTCGCAGCCCTAGGATTCATGTCACCAGCTTCACGGGGAATGCTATTGACTGGGATGATTGTTCTCTATCTCTTCTTGGGTATCGTCGCTGGCTACGCTGGTGTACGTCTCTGGAGAACTGTCAAGGGAACTTCAGAAGGGTGGCGTTCACTTTCCTGGTCTATCGCATGTTTCTTCCCGGGGATTGCTTTTGTTATCATGACGGTATTGAACTTCCTTCTTTGGAGCAGCAACAGCACTGGAGCTATCCCGATATCGTTGTACTTTGAGCTCTTGGCCCTCTGGTTCTGCATTTCAGTGCCACTGACCCTATTCGGAGGATATATGGGCACACGAGCTGAAGCAATTCAGTATCCAGTGAGAACCAACCAGATTCCCCGGGAAATCCCAGAACGCAAATACCCGTCATGGCTTCTCGTCCTTGGAGCGGGAACCCTTCCTTTCGGAACCCTATTCATTGAGCTGTTCTTCATCTTCTCCAGCATCTGGCTCGGAAGATTCTACTATGTATTCGGGTTCTTACTCATAGTTCTGCTGCTTCTCGTCATTGTCTGTGCCGAGGTTTCTGTGGTCCTAACCTACATGCACCTCTGTGTCGAAGATTGGAAGTGGTGGTGGAAAGCTTTCTTCGCCTCGGGTTCGGTATCGTTCTACGTTTTCGCATATTCTGTCAACTACTTGGTTTTCGACTTGCAGAGTCTGAGCGGCCCGGTTTCAGCTATGCTTTATCTCGGTTACTCTCTTCTCATGGCGATAGCGATCATGCTCGCGACAGGTACCATCGGTTTCCTCACGTCCTTCTACTTCGTGCATTATCTCTTCTCCTCCGTGAAGATCGATTGAAAATCCTTCACTGAGGGATCCCCATTAGAGAGGATATTCTTGTTCTCATTTGGTGTTTTTCTGCTTTAGGAACTGTAAAAGTTTCAAAACTTTTTAAAAACGAGTTATCAAACTGTTGTTTTTGTAGTGTGCTTACAGGATGTCACGTTAGTAGAGTCCGTGAGCTCATTCATTCGTACGGACTATGTTCCTTTGTTTTGAATGTGTTTACAGTTTCCCCATTGACTGAACGATGTCTTAGTTTCCGTAGACACACACACTTATCAAAGCTAAGATTCTACAATAAAACCTTCGTTTCGTTATGGCTACTAGAATCTAACCTTTGCCAATGAATCGATTTCGCGTTTTTGTTGTATAGAGAGCTGTAAAACTAGTTGCGGTTCGCAAGTTAGATTTGGTTTTCTTCAGTCTCGTTTAAAAACGGGCAGGCGGACTGGTCTGAGTTCAAAGTCAGCGAACTCGTGTTGATCTTGCTTGGGCCGAACCGAGTCGAGTCAGCAAACCCGTTTTACGCCCTTACCAAATCGAACTAAAAGTAGAGCTCCGACCTGGTTTAACCGTCTTTTAGACTTGTTTGAAAACGGGTTGGGTTAACTCAGATTCAAAATCAGCGAACTCGTGGTGATCTGGTCTGGACCGAGGCTTCGAGGATGTCAGTAAAACCGAACTTAAAGCTATGCTTGGAAGCCGAAGATCTCGAGGATGTCATTTCGGTCTAATTCGGATGCATTCATTTCTCGAGCTCGACTTATACGCTGCGTGCAATTACCTATATATGACATGCTTAAGATGAATCAAGTTGACGTATATGTACCTCTATACGTACCCTTTTTCTTCTCTTCACAAAGCTCAAAGAACATGCAAAGTTGTGGATATATCTTCCATCAAAAGCTCAACGTTCCATACTTCTTGTCCATGAAACAAAACTCAGTTCTAACCATGAAGAAATAGTTACCTGCCTTTATTCCCTAAGAAATAGACATTTCCGACAGAAGCAGTGTATCTCATTTACAGTTTGTTCGGATCAGCAATTTAACCAAACCTCTTTCCAATAGTTGGTCCGACCAAATCTGTCCAAAAAAAACTAGTCTAGGGTCCATGGATCTTCGCACGGGAATGAACTCTTTTGCAAGAGCTCATTTTTTTCCGGCCAAAAAAAACTAGTCTAGGGTCCATGGATCTTCGCACAGGAATGAACTCTTTTGCAAGAGCTCATTTTTTTCTGGAAAAAAAGAAAACTTTGCGGAAGAAGCTACAGAGTTCAAGTACCTTTAGCTTGTTGAATCTGTTGCAGAAGGGCTGCTGCTAGCTGCAGCGTTGCTTGCAGACGCTTCTGTGGGTTAGCCTCGGTTTCTTCTTCTTGGGTATTGCTTCCTTGTAGATTTTGGTGTCCCGGGGAAATTGATTTGACTTCCCTTTGAATCGAGTTAGGTATGCTCGGGGTCTGTTGTGAATGGATAAACTGAGACGAAGCTGACAGCTCCGGGGTGAGATGGCTGCTCTGTACATCATATCTCTCGGGTTGATTCGGCGGGTTCCCTGCCTGTTTCTGCTGCCCCAACAGAGAAGAAGTTAACTGTGCAAGCTGTTCAGGGTGAAGCCCTGAAAGTTGTGTAGATGTCGAGACTGAAGCTTGTGTATCAGGATACTGACTCGGATCAGAACCCAGTGGCTGCCCTTGAAAAGTATGGTTTTCGTTGCTGCTAGAAGCTTGCGGCTGTGAGCTTCTGAAACTGGCGACCGAAGCCTGAAGATCACGAGGAGGCCAGCCTGACCCAGAATGCTGGTGCATTGGCTGTTCATGCCTGTTCTCGATGTACGGGTCCAGATGTGCATCTTGGACACTATGAGCAGCACTCGGGAGAAAGGTCGATGGAGCTGAAATACGTGGGTTTCCAACAGAGGGAATCTTGTTAAATCCTGGATTGTCGAACTCGGGAAAAGCTCCACTAATCCTAGGGTATAATGTTTCAGCATGATAGGTTAAGAAAGTTCGATCTTTCATCTCACCTGGTTGTTGAACAGGCCCAGATCCAGGACCAGGATACTCTAAACGAAGAATAACTCCGGAGATGCTGAGTTTCCCGGGAACTTTAAGCACTTTCTGGGAGAAATCAGACGGAGGAACGAGGAACAATGTTGTTTTGTTGTCCAACTTAGAAACAGCTGCCCGTTGCTTCTCTTCCAGATAATGCATAAACTCGTTGTAGAACACCATATCTGCATCACTTCCAGGAACGAAAAAAACCACCCAACGATTAGATGCTTGGTAGTAATGCCTCACCAGCATGTCTAAACCAGTTCTTGCTGTGCAATCTAGGAACTCAGGCCTGCATGCATTTACAACCAAAAAATAAGAAGAAGAAAGTAGAATTCAGTAAAACTCAACCAATTTCATTATAACAACATAATGAACTTAATCTTCCTCGGCAGACTGGTCCAGAAAAACTGAGCCCGCTTAAAAAAGGAACCAAGTTATGCAGAAACTAAAGACTCGGAACTTACAGCATCATGTCCATGACTTCGCCAACAGGAAAGCATCGAGCACGACAAACGGGATTACCTCCCTTTGCTATAGTTCCTTCCCATTTCCAGTCTTTCAAGGATGGCCGATCGAGTTCAGGGGTATACCTCTTTCTTTCAGGGACATTAGAAGGAAAAGGAAGAGCCCCGGTTTGAAAATCGACATACTGAGCTTGTAAGCTACTCCTTTCCCCGTGATTCAAGGGCCGTTCAGCCATTCTCTTGTACCTTAGCTGCCCATCCTCAAAGTTTCTTTGGAAGGTATCTGGTGGGGACAAATCAGCGGATGCCCTAAAAGATGCACGCCTCTCTCTTTCAACACCAGAAAGCGGATAGTCTGGAAGCTCTTTCTCCGAAAAAACAGATCCTATCTTCAATCTCTTGGATTCATGATAGGCGTAGTCATCTTCAGGTAAACCCCTTGGCTCTTCATACACTGAACTCCGAGAAGGGAGCCTTTGAGGACCATCACGGAATGTATAATCACTTTCCCTCGGGCTACTACCATGAAAATCATGCAAATGATCATGTGGCATTCTGTGGGTAGCCCTCAAGTTCTCATATGCATGGTTTCCATCATTTCTCGAGGTCCCTTTCCTGTCAAACATGTAATCCCCGGGATCCGCATAGTTCCTACCCTGAAAATAACCTTCTGAAGATCCCAGCCGATGGACAGATCTGTAAGGCGGAGAGAGGGATCCACTCGGTAGCCCCCTCCCACTACTAGATGAGGAAGGTTCGCTCTTTGCGAAACAAATATGCACCCGAGGATTGCCAAATAATTTCCCCTGAAGTGTTTCCTTCGCCTTACATGCTGCTACTAGACTCCGAAACTCAACAAATGCATAACTTCGACCGGGAAATACAGTGACCTTTTCTATTTCTCCGAATGGAAAGAAAGCCTTTCTCAAGGTTGCCTCGTCCACTCTCAGCGTAGCTGGAAATCCTATCCACAACACCTCACTGGGCTCTGCATCTCTGTCACTTGTTTTCGATTTGCTATAGGAGTCCGGACTTTCATAACGCATTCTGACGTCCTTTTGGATAAAAGACGATTCTCTTGCTGTAGAACGATGTTCATCCCGTCGAAACTGATCTTCAAAGTGTGATGCAAAGGAGGACTTATCCTGTGGTAGACAATATCACAGAGACAAAAATATTAACCAACTCCCAACTTTGCATGTTCGACAATACAGATCGAAAATCTGGTAGAAGAACCATTCGACAAAAGACGAGCCAATGACTTCAATGCAATCTCGGATTTTTGTGTCATCCAACTAAGCAATTGAGTTGAATAGGAAAAACAAGCATTTGTGATATCACCAACATATCAAAAGATTATAGTAACTAACAACTATATTGCTGGCTAAAAGAGAACTTATACTTGGATTATGCCCACAAAGGAAGAATTTTCCTTTGCCACGAGCAATATAAAGACAAATGTAATATCAAATGCAGAGCCTAAAATATATCCAGAATCTGATGAGTGAAATAACAGAGCACATACCGCGGGCTCTAAAATCAGAAAGGTCCAAACAAGTGGGATAAAATAACATACAAAAGCTTTCACAATATGAAAACAAATTGATAGGAATGCAAGCTACCCACATTTAAACGTGGGTATGACATTTGTAACGTAGTTCAAAAGGAAACTCGTCACAATGCAATTTAAGCCATCAAGAAACCAGCAACAAATTTTCATAATCAACCAATGATTTGCAAAATCAAAATATAAGAGTGTTGCCCCAGCTAAAATGACCTCATAGTATCCCACCACTACCAGCCAATAATATTATGCAGCACAAAAGACACTGCTAATTCATAGATCAAGGAAATTTACTAGATCCAAAACTTATTGCATACAGCAGAAAACGAGTCCAAGAAGCTATCTAAAAAGCGAACGAGCATCGTCTGAACAGCGAGCATTCCATATCTAAAGAAGGAAAACCTGTTTAATGTCGATTACTACTTTGTAGCCAAGGAAGATGTCTGATAATATTTCCAAGCAAAGAGAGGTAACTCAGTTAAGACTCTGTTTTTTGCTATGTCAGTTTGTTAACTTTTACATAGGTACGTGTCATATAAGCTATCATGAAAGCAGCACCGAACACAATAAAAAAGGAAAGCTCTGCCTTCTCAGTTTCTTTGTTGCTCGATTTTGAACATCAACAGCAACCATTGGGAGCTAGAGGACACAGTATACGATTTTATGGATTAGGTTCTTTCCACATCTAGAGAGCAATGGCATTATGACCAATTCTATCAGTCCAAAGCAAGACTGGAATTGGCATATGAAAAACTACTGCAGCGTTGAACGATATCGATATATAATTCCATAAGCTTATGAATTGGCAACCAGATCACAGCAGTTGCCTATTTGGCATTGGCAGTGGAATAGGACCGTAGGCAGTGCATGAAAGCATGGCGAAGGCAAAAATGGACTTCAATAAAGCAATGAAACTGTGATTGGTGTTTAAGATATCAGCAATCCTGTTTGCTAAATAGCTTGAGAATCCAGAACTAGGATTATTGTACCATCTGAAATTAATTGAGTTTGCAATGTTATGATGGGAAGGCTAGAAAAGGATGTATTCCAGCACAACATATTGATGATGATGTTGGGGTTCATCTTCATAGAGAGGCAGCTAAAGTCATGCAACAGAACAATTAAATCCATATTAAGGAGGGCAATGGCAACACAATTCAGTGGAATTGGAGGAATAAGTGCTGCATGAATGAGGTTTTTAAAGCATTCAAGCATTTGTATCAATGGGACATTTTGTTAACATCAACTAAAAGAACCAGATATATTAAGTGGAGACATCATTGCTTTCAGATTCAGTTAAAAGTGGATATCCCCTCTCTTCCCTTCAGCACATGCACATGTCAGATGTTCCTGGAATGTACCTCAATGAGATTGCTTCTGTACAAAAGAATAAAGAAGCTACAAGTTCGGGATCTATCTTCTAGGTTATTATAAGTTCAGGTTGTTTCCAAAGAAGAACATAATTTGCCTAACTGAATGGATGCTATGCTGAAAATATCACAGTTGACCACTGGTGAAAAGAGGCATTATGCCATTATTCATCCTGTAATGGACATGGACTGAACTTGAAAAATCGCCCTAGCTATAGAATGTGAAAGAAACATCTCATCCTAACAATTCTGATTTAAATGGCAGAGTATCACACTTTTTAAGAAACATCTCATTATAATGATTCTGATTTAAGAGGGTAGGAGGCCTATACAAAAGGAAAACCAAATTATTGATAAGTGCTTTCTTTGTTTGACTCAGTACCCACTTCTCCAGAGTTAAAGAATAGTGACAATTATCATCAGCTTTTGCCAGAGGATTCAGAGGTTCCTGCTACCGGATGAGATCATGAGAGAATTGCTGAAGCAGATATGAGATTGGGTCCTTAGTTTGACAAGGATTCTCCTCTTACATAAGCATCAATTCTAAGAAATGGCAAGTTCTGGATGTTCACGAATGTGCCAATACTTAAACCATTCAAAATTGCAGACAATGAGCTTATTCTACCATATGAACTTTCTAGTTTGGGCAAACTACTTGATAACTTTCAGGGCACTCTAGTAATGCCATGAACAAAGGCTCCTCCTTTGTCCCCATTTGGAAACTTTGGCAATTAGTTGGATCTTCTTCCCTAATAATTATCCTTAACTCTCATAATCAACCCATGAAACCCGAATGTAACCAAGGCCGAGATTGAATTCAACAGGACTAAAACAAGAGTACAGATACGAATCAAATCCAAGCAATGATAACTCAGCAACGCTACCATTTCGGCAGAGGAACAAACACTGAAAATAAGGAGTTCAACACTAACCGCCTTGGCAAACTCGATCCTAAGCGGGTTGCCGGTGAGTGGGAACCCCTGAAGCGCATCAATGGCGGCGAATGCGTCTTCATCGTGCTTGAAGTTGAGGAACGCGTAGCTCCGATTCGGCTGAAACGCCACGCTTTCCAGCTCGCCGAACCGGAGAAACCGGTCGGTGAGCGCTCGTTCAGATATTCCCTGGGGAAGGTTCCCTACCCAGAGATGTCGAGACGGCGGATTCCCTCCGCCGCCGCCAATTCCCCTTCCCTTCTCTTCCCTTCGCATCATCTCACTTCCTCCACCACCGCCGCCTCTAGAAGATTGAAAATTATCGAGGGGAGACAGTATCAACGTATCTACGACTCTGAGAACTTGAAGAGCGGGAACAAGCAGCGGAATCGAAAAAGGCGGATTCCGAATATCCTATTCCAAGATCTAATCTATCGAGAAAATTAACGAGATTGAAAGAGATTATTGAGAGCAAATTGAGATTTTTCGCATCCAGCAGCGCTGTTCTGCAACCAGAACACTGAATTTTTTTTTCTAGGGCTGCGAAATTTGGGGTTTCTTGCGGACTGTGAAATTCTATTTCAAGAAAGGGCCTCTTGAAATAGAATTTTCACAGAAGCCCCAATAATTTATTATTAATTATCAAATTGGTACTAAGGTTTTATAAAGTTCAATATGGACACAATGAAACGAAAAAAGACACGTATAAAAGCCCTTTTTCTTGCAAGTGTCCCTTCGAACGAACTTGAACCAAACAAACAGCATAGTCTGAGAAATCTTGAAGGCAGAAATCGTAAAGCGCGAAGGAGATAAGAACTCGGGTTGGGTTTCTTGTTCAAATCCATGACTAGAACGCGAAGAAACACTATTTTCAGTAGGGCCAGGTTCCGAACCTCACCCCAACCCTCCGATTCGGTAAATCTCCTGCATTTTCTGTTTGTTTCCCGGGAAAATTATCGTTACAGTATGCCTCTGACCCTAAATTTCATTGAATTTATGATGCCCATGTGAGAAATTCTTGTTCTTTTCGTGAATATGGAGTGGTTCCTCAATTTTGAACTGTTTTTTTCCTGATCTTGAACACAGGACGACGTTAATGGAGGCTCTAGTTTCAAGGGAGGTGACAGGACACGTCACCAGAGCCCTGAAGCTCATGAGAAAGGTAGCGATGGAGGGTATGGCCTCCGGGAAAAGAGTCCAATTTTGGGGGAGAATGAAGCTGATAGTTCTGTAGATCGGTTAAAGTCTGATGCTTGTATTGTCTGTGATGGAAAAGACAACCAGCTACTGGTATGTAATGAAACCGGGTGTCCTGTCTCCATTCATCACAGATGTATGCCTGAAGAACCTGATTTCGATGAACTCGGGAACTTTTATTGCCCGTATTGTTGGTATAAGCAGCTAGTTGTGAAGTCTTTGAAGTTCCAGGAGAAGATTATGATGGCGGCTGAGGAGTGCGGGAAGGCGAGAGATATATCAGTAGGTGTAGATATGGCTGTAACGGTGGGTAGGAGTGGCAGGAAAACTGGGAATGTAATGGAGGTAGATATGTCCTTAGGTAGAATGGAGAATCTTAACCCTTGTGAGAATAGAGGGGAAGATGATGAATTAGGTCATCCATGTGCAGAGTTAGAGACAAACCAGCAAAATCAAACAGTGTTTGCTGAAATTCGTGCGCCGGGAGTTGCTAATAACGATGAAAGAGCTCAAGGGCAGGATTCTGATGTGGGTGAGGGGAAGAAGCGGCGTGGAAGACAAGGGAAGGGTTTGAGGAATGATGAAGAAGCAAAGGCAGACCTTGAACCATCTATTTCTTCCCCTATATCGACAAATAATGTTAACGAATCTGATACATCTGATCAAGAACGATCAAATGAAGCACGGTCTCGCCATGATCCTGCTGCTTCTCCAAAGGACCCTTTTTTTGGGCCTGAAAAATGTTCAAGAAGAAGCAAAAGTTACCAAGATAAAACTGCAACTGAGTGTTATGATCTCAGGCAAAGGTTGCTCATTCATTAAGTATATCACTTGCTGTTAATATATGCGAAGACAGTGCAATGGTTACTTGCTGTAAATTTCTCGAGAAAAGTGGCCGAGCCTAAAACTATTTCCCCCTTCAATTTTCAGGAAGGATAGTGCATACAATGACAAGAAGCGTAAGCGGCTGTTTTGGACGCCGGAAGAAGAAGAAACGCTTAGGGTATGATTATGAACTTGTGCATTGAACGCCCTTTTTCTTTTCCTTTTCTAGCTTTTCCGATATATTTTGATTTCTTTCCATGATACAATCTTTCTTAGCTTTCGGAGATTTGGATCATGGCACCGTTCTAGAGAACTTACGGCCGAACCCAATTGATCTAAGCTGGTGTGATCTATTCCTGAAAGATTTAATGCCAATTATGTCAGTCAGCTTGACAAGAACATTACAAGATAGATGTCTCCAAGTCTTGTTCTTCCCAGTAGCCCTCTGACTGCAATATAAAGTAGAGCCAGTTTTATTTGTCATTTCCATGGCTACTCTTGAGAAAACTAAACAGGGCAATGTTCTTAATTTAGATTCATGGGTTCATTGAGAAAAAGAACCAACCCAGTTCGATTCCCCACCTGGTGGGGTGGGTTCATTGAGCCATATGGGTTCATTGAGAAAACTTTTTTTTTTGCCGAGTGCAGGTTGCTGTAGAGAAATTCTTGTTCTTTTCGTGAATATTGAGTGGTTCCTCGATTTTGAACTGTTTTTCCTTATCTTGAACGCAGGACGACGTTAATGGAGGCTCTAGTTTCAAGGGAGGTGACAGGACACGTCACCAGAGCCCTGAAGGTCATGAGAAAGGTACCAATGGAGGATATGGTCTCCGGGAAAAGAGTCCAATTTTGGGGGAGAATGAAGCTGATAGTTCTGTAGATCGGTTAAAGTCTGATGCTTGTATTGTCTGTGATGGAAAAGACAACCAGCTGCTGGTATGTAATGAAACCGGGTGTCCTATCTCCATTCATCACAGATGTATGCCTGAAGAACCTGATTTCGATGAACTCGGGAACTTTTATTGCCCGTATTGTTGGTATAAACAGCTAGTTGTGAAGTCTTTGAAGTTGCAGGAGAAGATTATGATGGCAGCTGAGAAGTGTGAGAAGGCGAGAGTTATATCAGTAGGTGAAGATATGGCTGTAACGATGGATAAGAATGGCGGGAAAACTGGGAATGTGATGGAGGTAAATATGTCCTTAGGTAGAATGGAGAATCTTAACCCTTGTGAGAATAGAGGGGAAGATGATGAATTAGGTCATCCATGTGCGGAGTTAGAGACAAACCAGCAAAATCAGGCAGTTGCTGCTGAAATTCATGAGCCGGAAGTTGCTAGTAACGGTGAAAGAGCTCAAGGGCAGGATTCTGATGTGGGTAAGGGAAGAAGGCGGCGTAGAAAATCTGGTGGTCGACAGGAAAGAGGGGAGGAGGAGGAGGAGGAGGAGGAGAATGGAGATCAGTCTAATAGGCGGAAGATGAAGAAAACGATGAGGTCGAGAAAGAGCAAGAGAAGGGTTTGAGGAATGATGAAGAAGCAAAGTCAGACCTTGAAACATCTATTTCTTCCCCGATATCGACAACTAATGTTAACGAATCTGATACATCTGATCAAGAACGATCAAATGAAGCACGGTCTCGCCATGATCTTCCTGCTTCTCTAAAGGACCCTTTTTTTGGGCCTGAAAAATGTTAGAGAAGGTGTTCACCATCATCCATCTATGGCGCAGAGCCACATCTCTTACCGTCTTGTCTCTAAAGTGACGATCAATTGTAACATACATATAAACCTTCTCGTCGTCTGTATAGGTATCATGTGGAGAGAAGTATCTATAAATTCAAGTTGAATTCAATAAAGATACATAATTTCACCGATGTCTACGACGATCATTATACCAATATATACACAAAGGAGTGGGCATGGAAAGAATACAATGACAGTGACATTAAAATCAAATAAATATCCAAAAAGGTTCAATTCTAAATCACTACATCATATCATATGACAAATATGTTATCATATCAAGCATGTGAGCGCAGAAACTGAAAAGCATAACAAAAATCTCACAATAAAAAAATGAACAACCAAGTTAAAAACTTCAAGTTCAAGAACTCGTTATTCCGAAGAATCCATCTACTTCTTCTGGATCACAAGCCTCATTAGTGTTATTGAAAGGCAAGAATGCAAGGAGTGTGTCCAAGATCTCTTCCTTGAGGCATGGAACAGGAAGCGTCAGCTTTGTTTGCCCCGCAACTCCATTAGAAACGCTGAGGAAAGAAAACTCGTGAAAGCAAAGTCAGCAGCAACGGATGAAAAAAAAAGGGTTCAAACACAAAGAACGAGTATTCGTGCGAATGCAAATACCCATGGATCGATGAAATCAGCATGCTGACTTCACACATGAGACTGATGTTTGCTCCGGGCTGCAACATGACAAAGATCAGATTGGTCGTTTTTGTTATGTTTCAGTCTCGGTGAAATCCAAGCCAAGACAAGTAGCAAAAGGGTTTCGGTCTAAGAAAGCAGAATTTGATCTTACCTTTGAGCTGCGGAGATTCACGTCTATTTCATTTTGCATTTGATAAATTCTGGTAAAAGCCTCCCGTACCAGATCATTAGTGTCTGGATGAGCAGAATCATGGTTTCACATCGAAGTTGAATCATACATAAAGAAGAATTCGACAGTTTTTGATAATTCTTGACAAAATACCTAATTGGAAAGTGGAATCTGTTCCACAAGCATGAGAACTAATTAGTGCTGAATGGCCTTTATCTCCTAAAATGTGTTTCTCCTGCAGAAACCGAATATACTTCCTTTGTAAGTTTGGCTACATTTTAATGGAGATGATGTATATCATGAAAACACACAGTTCCTATTAAAATCACACAACACATTCACGGGGTTATGCTTGGTTTCGCAAAAAAGAGCGGTGGCGTAAAATAGAAACTTTTGAATGATGTGTAAAACGTTAGAGAAGGTGCTCACCATCATCCATCTATGGCGCAGAGCCACATCTCTTACCGTCTTGTCTCTAAAGTGACGACCAATTGCAGCATACATATAAACCTTCTCATCGTCTACATAGGTATCATGTGGAGAGAAATATCTGCAAATTCAATTTGAATTCAATAAAGATACAGAATTTCATTTGCGTCTACGATGATCATTATACCAATATATACACAACATACAGGATACACGAACATTTGTAGAATCATCTAACACTTTGCCTAAAAAACCAGGAAAAAGGATCAAAAAAGAAGGATTTGACACTCAAAGTAAGAAACAAAGGCAAAAACCACATCAACTCTCCATCAGAAGCGCACGGATTTCAACACAGACTTGAAAGATCCAAGAAACAATCGGCCTTCGATATGAAACACGGATTCAGAATCGCAAATCACCCAAAAGGATCTCACGTCAAAGTACACAACTACGCGTGTATATACAATCATACAATAGAGAGGGAAATACCTGGCGATGAGATCCTCCAACGATTTCTGCTCAGCAGCGGACCAGTGAACTGAGATTCTCGGATTGTGAATCAGTCCCGAGGTAGATGGATTTTGTCCTGACATCACTTCCCGCTTGATGGAGCATAACAACGGTTTAGGGTTTTAGCTAGGGTTAATCACACACCCCCAAAAAAATTTAGAATGATCAAAAGTCATATCTATATATATATATAGAAAAATCCAAAAAATATGCAACAACAAAACACAAGCAATGATGTGTATAGAGTACAATATTCCACTTGAATGCATTGAGTAGGACACGTATCTAATTAACCCTAATCAAATTTTTTTGCACGACATAATACGAGATTAATTAGATATGTATATATATATATATATATTACCTGGAGATGACTAACGACGTTGTGACGGGTGAGAGATTGAACATCTATAATCTCAAGAATCCGATCGGTTCTCTTATTCCCATCTATGTTTGGCCTTTTTACAAAAATACGCCATGTGTCACATTAATATTAATTTCGACGGTACGTCTGAAAAAAAACTTTATTTTTTACAAATTATACACCAATTTTTAAGTAAAAAGTCTAAAATATCCATATATATAGAATTTCCACGACACCCTTTATTTATATTTGATTAAAAAAACGTATATGGTAAACTCTTTATTTTACGTAGATATAGATATCCTTTATTTTTTAATACCTTTATTTTTTAATTAAAATAAAAAACTATTGATATAATTTTTTGTATGAAAATTGTTATGCTGAGTATTTATACATTATATTTCAAAGTTTACATAGTTTTCAACTAACAATCATAAAATAATATACAAATAAACCCACAATTTATTAAAAAAACTATAATTGAAAACGATTATAAAAAAAAATAAAAGAACATCAAATTTCTAATTCTAAGCGACCTTAAAAAATAGTTAGCTAATACCGTTTGTATGAACGAATTTCCACTTAAAAAATTATTTTTTCAATATTTACATTAATACAACAATAAAATAGTTAGATATGGAGATTTAATCTACATTTTAATACAAAATGATCATTTTTATTTCTCTTTCTCTGTAGTTGTTCACTCTCTCGTTGTTCTTCTTGAGGATTTTGAGATGATAGATTTCTCTTTAGTTATCATTTCGGAATAGACGCCGATTTCAAATGTTTTTATTTCTCTTCCTCTGTATTCATTCACTCTCTCGTTGTTCTTCTTTTTCGTTTTTGGTCCTATATTATGAGATATTAACAAATATAGTGCTACTATTTTCGAACATTCATGTCAAGCCTCATATCTTATGGATTTTACATATCAGCCCCCTTTCCTTTCATGCCATCTTCTTCTGTTCGGATGTGGAGGTGATTAAAGTACAATCCAACGATGGAAAGAATACAATGACAGTGACATTAGAATCAAATAAATATCCAAAAAGATTCAATCTCTAAATCTAAATCACTACATCAGATTACATCAGATCATATGACAAACAAAAGCATAACAAAAATCTCTCGTGCTCTAGATATCACAATCAAAAAATGAATAAATAAATTAAAAAATTCAAGTTCAAGAACTAGCTATTCCGAAAAATCCTCTACTTCTTCTGGATTGTAGGCCTCATTAGTGTTATTGAAAGGCAAGAATGCAAGGAGTGTGTCCAAGATCTCTTCCTTGAGGCATGGAACAGGAAGCGTCAGCTTTGTTTGCCCCGCAACTCCATTAGAAACGCTGAGGAAAGAAAACTCGTGAAAGCAAAGTCAGCAGCAACGGATGAAAAAAAAAGGGTTCAAACACAAAGAACGAGTATTCGTGCGAATGCAAATACCCATGGATCGATGAAATCAGCATGCTGACTTCACACATGAGACTGATGTTTGCTCCGGGCTGCAACATGACAAAGATCAGATTGGTCGTTTTTGTTATGTTTCAGTCTCGGTGAAATCCAAGCCAAGACAAGTAGCAAAAGGGTTTCGGTCTAAGAAAGCAGAATTTGATCTTACCTTTGAGCTGCGGAGATTCACGTCTATTTCATTTTGCATTTGATAAATTCTGGTAAAAGCCTCCCGTACCAGATCATTAGTGTCTGGATGAGCAGAATCATGGTTTCACATCGAAGTTGAATCATACATAAAGAAGAATTCGACAGTTTTTGATAATTCTTGACAAAATACCTAATTGGAAAGTGGAATCTGTTCCACAAGCATGAGAACTAATTAGTGCCGAATGGCCTTTATCTCCTAAAATGTGTTTCTCCTGCAGAAACCGAATATACTTCCTTTGTAAGTTTGGCTACATTTTAATGGAGATGATGTATATCATGAAAACACACAGTTCCTATTAAAATCACACAACACATTCACGGGGTTATGCTTGGTTTCGCAAAAAAGAGCGGTGGCGTAAAATAGAAACTTTTGAACGATGTGTAAAGCGTTAGAGAAGGTGCTCACCATCATCCATCTATGGCGCAGAGCCACATCTCTTACCGTCTTATCTCTAAAGTGACGACCAATTGCAGCATACATATAAACCTTCTCATAGTCTGTATAGGTATCATGTGGAGAGAAGTATCTGCAAATTCAAGTTGAATTCAATAAAGATACATAATTTCACCAGTGTCTACGATGATTATTATACCAATATACACATAACATATATGATACATGAACAGTTACAGAATCATCTAACACTTTACATAAAGAACCAGAAAAAAAAAGATCAAAAGAGCAGGTTTTGACACTCAAAGCAAGAAACAAACACAAAAACCACATAAACCCTCCATGAGAAGCGCATGGATTTCAACAAAGACTTGAAAGATCCAAGAAACAATCGCCCTTCGATATGAAACACGGATTCAGAATTGCAAACTACCCAAAAGGATCTCACGTCTAGGTACACAACTATGCGTGTATATACAATCATACAATAGAGAGAGAAATACCTGGCGATGAGATTCTCCAACGATTTCTGCTCAGCAGCGGACCAGTGAACTGAGATTCCCGGATTGTGAATGAGCCCCGAAATAGATTGATTTTGTCCTGACATCACTTCCAGTTTGACGGAGCAGGAGAACGGTTTAGAGTTTTAGCTAGGGTTAATCACACACCCCAAAAAATTTAGAATGGTCAAAAGTCATATATATATATAGAAAAATCCCTAAAATACGCCATATGTCACATTAATATTAATTTCAATGGTACATCGGTAAAAAAGCTTTGAATTGTTTTTACAAATTATACATTAATTTTTAAGTAAAAAATCTAAAATATCCATATATATCAAATCTCCAAAATACTCTTTATTTTTATTTGATTAAAAAAATGTATGATGTTAAACTCTTTATTTTACGTAGATACGATAGGGATGACCACGGATCGGATATTCGGGATTTTCGAGATATCTGTATCCGTATCCGATCTGTAAAAATATATAATTTTATTATTTGTATACGATCCGTATATTTCGAATATTCATATTTTCGGATATCCGAAAAAATAAGGGATATTTGCGAATATTTGTATCCGAATTAAAATATGAAAAAAATAAAAAATAAAATTAAGAAAAGAAACTAAAAAGCAAACAAAATTCGCTAATGTTCAGTGTTTCAATAAACAAATTGTCAAAATTCATAGAACAAGTTGAAGAATGCACACCAATGATAGTTTGTTCGTCCCTTCTATAAAGAGATACGATACTTAGACATTACTCATCCCTTCCAGAGAAATATCTATGAAAGAGAATTTCTGAAAAAAACAATGACAACAAAACAAATAATATTTATCCTTAATGCAAAATCTACTCACCCAAAAATAAAAACTGAAGTAGCAGAATTGTAAATCTCCCAAAAGCAAGATGGCGAATGATAAGGAAAGAGAGTAGGAGAGGATGGTGATTAATTTGAGTTTTTGACCTTTTGTCAAGAAAAACCCTAATATATTTTTATTATTTCCCAAAATAACCCCTGAAATATAAATTATTTATTAAATTATCCTATATTTAATAATTTTATTAAAAATACGTATCCGACAAATATTTTTAAACCAATATCCGTATCCGATCCGTAAACTCTGGATATCCGAATTTTCGGTTCGGATACAAATCAGATAACGGATCTATCGGTTCGATTTTTTCGGATATTATGCCCACCCCTAACTATATATCAATTAAGCAAAAAACAAGAAAACATTGGCAAACGGACGTTTTTTTTTGTCAAGCAAACGGACATATATTATAATTTAATAAAATTTAATCATATACTTGAAATTCCTAAAAAAGGATTTAACCGTACACTTACGTAAAAGAGGTAAAACGATGGTGGAAGTCTATTTTGTTGATGACCTCTCAATGGAGCTTTTACTTAGGAGGTCAGTGGTGAGGGAAGAGTAGTTGATGTTTGGTCTGAGAGGGGTGATCCCCATAGGGTTAATCGAATGGTGGTTAGGTATTTCGAATTTGAATAGATATTTTAGTAATATCTCGAATTTGAATAGATAAAATAGAAAATATAATTTTAAAATAAAAAATGTCATTGGATAAATTTAATTATTTTTTAATAAAATTTATTGTTATTTTAGTAATATCTCGAATTTCAATAGATATTTTTAATAAAATTTATTGTTATTTTAGTAATATCTCGAATTTTAATAGATAAACTATAGAAAAATATACCTTGAAAAAAAAACCGTAGAAAAATATAAAAGTATAATTTCACATTATAATACAGTAAAAAAAATTTTGGTCCAAAGAAACTTGGGGGAAAATCTGCATCTAACCAAAGATTCACAAATTATTCTACAGTTTGATCATAAACTTCTCCTCTTTTGAGAAAAAAACTGTCATTTTTTTTCTGTTAAATTCTGAAAAAGTTTCACCCAATATTTCACACTATTTTTAATTATAAACGATTTTTTTATTGTGAATAATTCTCATTATTTAACCTAAATTATTTGTCTAAATTAATTAAATTTCAACTTATTTAAATAGTTAATCAAATTGAAACTTATAGATCACTGACTTAATTTCCAATCATTTCATTAAAGAATTCAAATCATATTTTAGGAACGAGAGGTCATTGGATTCAAGATCAATGGGCCTCATATATAGCCCGTAGGCCCAAGTCATCTGAAAAATCTCAGCCGTCAAAACAGGTCCAATTTAAGTGCATCGTGACCGTTGATCTAAGAGCCTTAGGGTTTTGCTTATTTAGACGCCTCTTTACTCTTTAGTCTCTCCTTCTCGCCACTCACTCATCGTCTTCAAGCCCGGCCGGCATCACCAATGGTAAGGTTTCAGCTTCATATCTCCCTTTGTGTTCGGCCATGGCTTTTCCTTGATCTTACACCCATTTTCTCTGTGGACAAGTTGCATTCGTTGTTCATTTCGTGTATATTTCTTTGCATCACTCTTTTTTTTTGGTTGTATATTCTTCGGTGTATGCAACAGTTGAAGCTTTGTTCCGATTCCTTTTTGGTTGTTTTCTGATGTCGTTTTCTCCTAACTTAACATGATTTTTCTCTCCCTTTGGAGTGTGCTTGATATACGAAAAAGTTGCAGCGTTTTATTGTTTTAGTGAATATATAGCTTGATTTACTACACTAGAGGTCCAGAACTCTTTAGATGCGAAATTCGCCATCTGGGTTTTACTTTTTTTCTGAAATAAAGGTTGAAAAATAGGGGATTTCGATTTGGGTTTTCATATTCAGATGCAGGGATCACCTTAAATCTTTGTGGTTTTTTTATTACAAGCTAATGCCGGTTTGAGATTTCTGCTTTAGGTGTTCGTGAAATCCCAGAAGTCGAAGGCTTACTTCAAGAGGTATCAAGTGAAGTACAAGAGAAGGCGAGGTATACGTTGTGCTGTTCTCTTTCCTCGGATGCTTTGGTTGCTCAAGTTTCCGGACCTTATGAAATGCTGTAATGTCTTTTGTATTCTGTTTAGATGGCAAGACTGATTATCGGGCGAGGATCCGCCTGATCAACCAAGACAAGAACAAGTACAACACTCCGAAGTATCGGTTTGTTGTTAGATTCGTATCCTTTTCCACTGAGAATTTGCTCAAGTCGAAGTATCGGGTCGTTGGTTGTTATTATGCAAGTTCAAACTACAATCGCCTGGCTAAAGGGATTTGTATTTCTGCTTCAATTGTGCTTTTTTATTCCGGATATTCATACTATCTATCATACAGTTTCTACCTTATACTAGTAAATGAATATTAAGTTGTTTGTAGGAGTATAGCCAGTTGATTTTAATGCGAACAGCTATGATATGAACTAGAGCTTTAGTGTGACCGTTGTATATGATTTGCTAAAAGTGGAATATAACATTGGTTTTGTCTTTGACTCAATCTTAAAGACCAACAAAGACATTGTTGCACAAATTGTGTCAGCAACCATAGCTGGTGATGTTGTTCTTGCTGCTGCTTATGCACATGAGCTGCCTCGTTATGGTCTTGAAGTTGGTCTTACCAATTATGCGGCCGGTATGTTTTGATTAAACCTATGTTTCGAGTTTGTTGAAATTTTATATGTTACATTTTAGGAGCTGGATTTTCTTACGAGTGTTTTGGGTTAAACCAGCTTACTGCACTGGCCTTCTCTTGGCCCGTCGTGTGCTCAAGATGTTGGAAATGGATTCCGAGTACGAGGGCAACACCGAGGTATGTGCTTGCTTGTCTCAAATTTCTCGGTGGAGGAAGCTTGTGTTTTCATCTTTCTGGTTTTGTGCTGAAATTTCATTTTTCATTAGGCAACCGGAGAGGATTTCTCCGTGGAACCAACCGATACTAGGCGACCCTTCCGTGCTCTTCTTGACGTTGGACTTCTGAGGACCACGACAGGCAATCGTATCTTCGGTGCCCTCAAGGTATGTAATGATCATCTGATTTATATGTTGATGTATCTTTTTTTATTGTCTCTCTGCTAGGGCCGAAAAATCCCCAAATTTTGGGTACTCAATTCGATATCTGAAATTCGGGTACCTAGGCACTAGAAGTCTAGAACTAGGTGAGATGAGGTTGGATTTTAACGAGATGAAAACAGATTTTAGTGATAAGAAAACCCAGAGAATCGGGTTTGAGTTTGGGTAATTGGGTCTAATATTGGATACTTGTATGAACAGTAAAATGCTTGCCTTTTGAACTCATACATGAACTGTTTTCTTGTGCAACTTCCTCGTATTCAAGGGTGCTTTGGATGGAGGACTCGACATCCCCCACAGCGACAAGAGATTCGCGGGTTTCAACAAAGAAACCAAACAACTTGATGCCGAAACCCACCGAAACTACATCTTCGGTGGCCATGTTGGGAGTTACATGAAGGTAATGTCTCGAAAATGTTAATGTAAGAAACGATTTTACGGTTTTGAGTTGAAACAGACAAAGATGACAACTTTTTACAACAGCTCATGATGGAAGATGAGCCAGAGAAATACCAATCTCACTTCAGTGAGTACGCAAAGAAAGGGATCGAGGCCGATAACCTAGAGGCCTTGTACAAAAAGGTCCATGCTGCTATTCGGGCAGACCCCACCTTGAAGAAATCCGACAAGCCTGCTCCTACAGAACACAAGAGGTAATAAAAAAGAAAAAGACAAGGAGAACCGTTAATTTTGTTTAATCTTGGAGAAACTTAGTCTTGGATTTCGATTCGGTTTGATTTACAGGTACAACTTGAAGAAACTCACTTACGAGGAGAGGAAGGCAAGATTGATCGAGAGATTGAAGGCGTTGAACTCTGGAGCTGGAGCTGGTGATGACGATGATGATGATGAAGATGACGAGTAAATCGATCAAACCTTCATCTTGGTTTCGGTTGTAGTTTTCTTCTCTATCTCAAGAACTGTGACAAGTTCTTCCCATTTCAGACACAAAAAGGACAGTTCTTTTTTGTTGTTTCACATTTTTTGGCTTATGGAGGATTACATGTAAGACGTTAACGGTTTTGTTTGTAATCCATTTGACTATTTCCTATTCTCTAATAGATTATAGAAGCTTAAAAACATAGTCTTTATGTCAATTTCGTTATTCAACAAACAATTGACAAATGGGATTTTCTTTGGAAGCCGAATTTGATGAACAGAGATGAAGAGTTTTTGAAAGTCATGGTCAAGCCCTGCCAAAATCCGAATCATAGACAAAAGGGTACATTGTCATTTCTGCACATGATGGAGTTTTCCGCTACTCGCAAGAGCTTACAAGTTAAAACTTCAAAGTACTCAATCAAACAAGGCAACTTCAAATCAAAACAATGAGCAAAAAAAAAAAAGTTTTTTTGAACTTGAAGGAGCTATTGATCTGTCATGACTCATCATCACCATAATCCTCATCTTCATCGAAATCTTTAACCTTTACATCGGCATCTTCTCCAAACTGGATGCAGTTGTCGATTTCAGACAGTACATATTGTATGCTGCCCATGAAAAACACTTGTTATCATCAGACTTTCTGTCAACCCGAGAACACAAAAGCCGAAAGCCAGTGGAGATATATAAATAAAGACGCTACGTACCTCCGCTCTTTCCTCAGGTCGAGCGGTATGAAACTCACCATGCTATACTCTTCCACCTACCACACGAAGAAAAGAACAACACACTCTTGATTCGTTATGTAAGAACACAGATGAACAAGCAAAACTCTACTCCATGATGTGATATCCCTTGTCAACCATGAAAATGCATGCTTTGAAAAGCATTTTAGTCAAGAACAGGTGAATGCAAAGATGAGAGTATTCGCCTAGCAATTCAACGGTACAAAATGCTTTTGATTAGATTCTATCCATCGTCAGAGATCATCCAAGAAGCCATTTCGACCACAAGTGTCTTACGACGAGCATGCAGATATTGAAAAGAAAAGAAGACAGGCAGAACCAATGATCATCCAACGAAACGATGAAGAAACTATCGCATACCATTTCAATCAAAGATTTGTTCAACTTCGCGAATTGGGGAGCCATCCGTTTGTTCAACTCCGACAACAATGCCCGAGGCTCTGGATCCAAGTAGCTAGATACCGAGTAAGTAACCGAAGCAGATATTAGAACTTCAAAACTGAACAAAAAAAGGAAAAATCACAGCAAACAATTGGGAAGAGATAAAGGAAGACAAGACTCACTCTTCAATGTCTCTTTTATCCTTCAGGAGATCCATCTTTGAGAGGATATTGACATGAGGCAGTTCAAGTTGGATCATCGCAGAAAGAGACGCCATACAACCGCTTATAAACTTGGTTACATCTGTTACAAACTGACCCAAAGGACAACTCTTCCATCAGCGCAAATGGGTTCATGAAACTTCCGAAAAAGCATAAAGAAAAGAGTGAGAAAGAGGGGAAAATTAAAAAACCGAACAAACCTGTGAATCGAGCAAGTAAACAGCACAAACATTGAAGTTCTTCTGCTTCAAATGCTCCACAAAGTTCTTGAGTACAGGCACATGCGTGAAGAGTTCTATTTGGCCTAAAACCAAGAACAGAAAACGGATGGTCTTACAAACAAAAAACCCGAAATATTATCAGAGATGCATATGTAGAAAAAGCATAACTCATGTAAGAGCACCATAAGAATCACCTGGGCAATCAAAAACTAGGTAGTCATCATCTCTATAGTTCTCCAATTCTTCGTCTAGCCAATCATGTAAGCTGTCCTCGAGGTACCTAAGAATCAAGGTCAAGGCTCTTCCTTTCTCCATCTAATAGGTTCGTTCGCATATAATAAGCATATAAAAACGGCCTCTTTTCCACAAATACTAATAAATTCACAAGTACGCTAATACGAAAACAAAAGAAAAAGGATACTCCATGCAGTACATGAGACCGCCATTGGGGCCGAGACTCAGCTCCTCCATGACATCTTCCAAAGAAACGAGTTCCCGGATATCTACAAACAGTTTGCCACCAAGCTTCAGTGAAACAAAATATAACAAAGTGAATGACACTATGAACGAAAGCAGCAGCAGATAACTCACCCATAGCCACGGGATAATTGAAGATCTCGGCAGCAGGATCAAGGTTAACGATATGCATCGTTCGCCCGACGGTTTCACAGTGTTGATACAAAGAAGAGCAGTAAGTCGACTGGTTCAGGAAAAGAACCCGTTAGCCGGAACATCCGATAACTTAAACTATACAATCTTATCCAATTCGTTTGCAACAACAAAACCCAACATTGTAACTCGCAAGTCGAAACAAAATGAAAAAGACTGAGTTTTCTGCCATGGAAACCGAACCTTTCCGCTGCCCGCAGGCCCGATAACGAGCTGTGCATAACCCATCGATGAACTATCTCCAAGAAAAAGGGCTATCTTTTCCGACAACTCAGATGAAGCAAATCGAGTAGAGGATCCTAAAAGACGAGAGGATTGCCACGGTAACGTAAGCAGTGCACCAAACGCCCAGACCGAACAGTAGTCTCAAGATGTCACAGGAACCCATAAACCGGAAGCGGTCAACAACAACATTGCAATGCCTGAATTACCATTCGAACATCAACATCTCGTTGTAAGGATCTTTTCACTATGGAAACATAAATATGATAAACCAAATTTATCAACATAAATCGAAAGACAAAACTTCGATGCAATAAACCAGGAACTTTCGATGAGGGTATAAGATTTAGGGTTTAAAAGTTGCCTAAACCCATTATCATACATCATACTACAGAAGAGAAGAACCCTAACCCGTGATTTTTTTTTTCTAAAAAAAGGTCAATAAGACGAAATTTCTGCGGCAAACGTGCAATAAGGCAAAGAAAAAAATCGTGAGCTTCGGACGAAAAGATCAAACAAGCGCCGACAAAAATTTCCAAGCTTGAAGGGGAAACGAAAACAGGATAAGACAAAGATCGGAAACCCAAGAGCAGAAACTCCGAACTAGAGAAGCAGAAAATGCAAGATGATCAAAGCACGTCCACCTCTTTTCGGGTTTTTTTTTATTCCCCTTTTCCCTCTGATTTTAATTTCTCTGGGCAGATAAAGACGCGAGAGAGAGAGAAAGAAAGAAAGACCTGTTCCATCAATCAAGAGCAAACAAACCGCGTGTATCATGTGGGCTTAAGGGAGTTTGGTTAGCACTGCTGCTGTTAGCTTGGCCGTTTCGGTTCGGTTACTTGCAATCGAACGACACCGAATAAAAAAATATGGTATTTTTTTTATAAAATTTTTAAATATTAATTTTGAAAAATTGAAATTTTCAAAACTAAAAAAACCGAATTAAAAAAACCCGAAAAATTAATTTTTTTTAAATATATTTTTTAATAACATCGTTTTTCGCAAATGTAAATTTTAACCTTAGTACATAATTATATTTTAAAATTTTTATTTAAAACCAATCACATGTATTTTAGTTTAAATTTAACCAAAATTGAATTAGATAGAAAACAAAAAAACAAAACTGGATTAAAATATTAATAAAATCTGAAAATATACACTTATCATTAAAAAAGAGTATTATTCAAAATATACTTTTATTAATAAAACTATTTCTACACATATCATTTTTTAAAAATGATCATATGATCATAACGTTAAATTTATAGTGATCACACCAAATAATCATAGTCACATATTATATATCATATTAATCATTTCATAAAACCACCGTAGATTTAATGTGATGACTGATGTGATCATTTAGAAAATAGAAAATGATCACACCTAGAAAGAAAAAGGTATATAAAAAATAGTTGTAGCAATAATAAGAGGTATTTTGGATAGAAGCCCTTGAAAATGAGAACAGATAATGCAATCTAAAAAAAGTCAAACGACAAGCTAATATTGAAAAAAAAAAAGCACATAATACCAACCATTGAGCACATGTTCCCGTGGTCCATTTCTTATCCCAACCATAGCAATTTCCATATTCGGTTATACAATAACAACATTTTATGAAGGAAAAAAAAACACTTGTTGGAATATATGCTTCTAAAAATACAAGAGAGAGAGAGAGAGAGATCCATCCAATTCGTATGAATGTGAGCCTCTTCCTGTGTCGGGCAAACACCTAAAGGATCATGGCCTCTCCATCACCATCATCCCCATGCCCTGTTCAATGCCAAAAACCATCGCCTGGCTTTATAAGATAACATATGTGCCTAATCTCCCTACCGTGCATTTTCAGGGTTTACAATCACATTTCTCATGCGGCGAATCATTTCACTCCTTGCAATGGCCAAATTTACAAGCAAGGATGAAACATATATATAAAAGGCAGCCCAGCGCACAAAGGATCTCCACTGAGCGAGGTGTATTGTAGGCGAACCTTACCTTACATAAATATATACAAAGAAGAGCGTAGTCACTTACCCAAGGATGTGTATGCCGGTAAGCTTACGTACTCGGGACAAGAGTTCCTCGATGATATATCTTTCGAAACAATGCAATCCCTCGGCTGTAAACCATGAGGAACGGTCAGATGATGCTTGATACGATTCTTTACGATATAACAATACATATGTTCGAATCAAGAACAGAAACATATAGGCATCAAATGCAATCCTCATGGGCATTATTTCACCACTCTACTCTCTCTAGTGTTCAAAGGATGGGAGACTAGGTTTTTGAAGAACAAACCTTAGCATATACACACACAGCAGTATGGGAACTGACAATACGAAAAAAAGAGGTTTCGAATTCAGACCTTGAAATCCTTATAGAAGCAGATGCGGATTTCCTCCACTGCACCTTTTTTGCAAACCACTTCAGGGTTTGTATGGAAAGCATTCTGAATGGCAGTGACAATTCCTCCGAGGGGATACTTTTCGGAGTTGGAAGGAACGTAGCCAGCTTCAAACAGAACATCCTACTCCAGATTTTACAGAAGGCAGAATGACATCATTAATTCATCACTGAGCTATGACAGAATTACGTATGACACGCATAGATCAAATGAGATTAGATAGTGAGAAAGCATGCCAGATGTAATTTACACGGTTCAAAAAGTTCAGCCCATATCCATATCATGGAGAAATCATTAGCTAAAGAGTAGATGAGAATACAACGGTCATCACATTCTGGAAGCTCCGACACATTATTGAAAAATTTATACTGATTCGAATGCTTAAAAACCCAACCAAAAAAGCTTTCAAAACAGTAGCCATATAAGCTGATATATGACAACAAAATTTCAAAGTATCAATTTTTCACACTCCTCCAAACATTTATTCAGATTCCGATCCCAGACCTTAAATTGTGTTTCATGATACAAAATTGAAATAAAAGTTCAATCCGCTGGGTACTTCAAAAATACAAAGCTTAACTATCAAAAACTTACCGTGACATTGTACTTGAAGTAGATATTAAGTGTGGTAATGAAGTAGCTATATTCATCGCGAATTACAGGAGAAGAACAAGTCCCGTGTTTCTCTGCAGAAAAGAAAATTATCAACACAATCAATACTTTGCTGGGGAACAAAAGGCCACAAAGATAATGCTGAGTCGTGTTAATTCATAAACTAAACACGATGAAAGGATTCTGAATTTAAGCATAAAGTTTTCCACTTGAATAACAGAGTTACAGAGGTATGATTTCTGCATTTTCTGATACCATGAACAAATCCAAATTCGCATACAAATGTGTGGAGGTAACTCAAAACGATAAATGAATTTCAAAAGGCAAGGATTGACGATGATTACCCCACTGCCAGAGTGTGTTGCATGGAGATCCATGAAAGTCGACAAGAGAAACTCAGTTAGTTTTTGGTGAAGAAGACTGAGATATGAAATTGTACTAAATGATGATAATCACCTCGTGACCCCAAAATGACCCTTTTCCACCATGGCATCCTGATGGTGAACTACAACTGAGAGTGGGCCAGTACTTTTCAAGACCATCCATCAACGTTGAGATCTGCATTTTGCACTCTTTCAGTAGGTCAAGTTCAGGTATTAAGACGGTATTTCTACTTCACTCTTATTCCAATAGTATTCTCTGGCCAATTAAAAGGAGCACCCAAGATTCCAGGGAACTGTCCCTATTACCCGTTAGAAGGAAAAGAAAAAAAGGGAAAAATGAAATCTAAATGTTTCACCTCCTTCTCATCGAAGTCAGATCGGTAACAACAAGAAGGCCAGGATCCGTCGTTATAGTCAGGCCACAATCCATCTACCAGATGAATATACAGAGATGATTAGAGTGTCATTATATCGATATAGAGAGGCTGATAGGACATTCATGTCAACCCTCCAAAACAAAAATTACAAAGCCTGATCTATTTCAGCAATAACCATGGTGAAAGAAATATCCTATAAACAAGATCAGCCACCCACTCACTCCAGTATGTTATCCACCTCCTAAAAGTTACAGAAAAGTTTCCATGAAAACACACTTATACAGCTTCTTATACCGAAAAAAGAAGCCCTAAAACAGCCACAGCAGCAAATCGAAGTTTACCAAAGATGCAACAGAACAGCCAAATTTTGAGACAACAGATTCTCAAACTCAAAACTGAGACATCAACTCCTAAAACTGAAACTAAGATTTAGAGAATCATACTTACGGATGGTGAAATGAGTTGGAGAGTTCGAGCTGAAAAAAGGAAACAAATAAATGTAAGCCTTGATTGCTCCAGATTTAGCATCCGGTCCATTGGATCATTAATAGATTAATCCATACACTTCACAAGCATGGCATGACACCGACAGTAAATCATTTGAACTCAATCAAGTACCATCTTAATGCAGCTAAAAGAAATTGTCGCATCTAATTGAAATTCAGAGAAAACGCCTGACCGATAGCATCACAGTCATTGTTCATATATGAATTGTTCAAAACCCACTTCAATTCCACAGATTCTCGACATACGCCGCAAAGATCCATAAGTAAACATGATCCTAAAGGAGTTTTGAGAGATAAAGAAATGATACAAAATCGAGAGAGCGCAATCAAACTCACCCACGGCAACAAGCGTTTTTGGAGCAACAACGCCGAGTTCCACGGCATACGGTTCCCGGCCATTGAAGAGAGAGAGCGAAATAATCAAACTCTCTCTGATGGCGACCGACTCCAACGTCGTCACCGGCGAGTCCTCCGATCTCCGGAAGCGACGCAGCATCTCCGGCGAGAAACACAACGAGCGAGACTTCCAGGAGAAGAAGAAGAAGAAATCTCCGAGACGAGGTCGATGCCATGGTCTCTGTTGGATCGAAAACTGCAACCTGCCTCTGAATCAACGACGACGAATATTCGGATTGGATCATGGAGTTAATAGATGGGACAGCGGGGTGATTTAGTCATTGCGTGTTTGAAAAGTATCTAAGCCAAAACGGCATCGTTTCGATCAAATCTTATGACGACGTCGTTTGGTTATTGTTGAAACGCTGCCGTTTGCCTTAAGTTCAGAAATTAGAATGGTCAAAACAAATACCACACAATACTGAACTTTGCCCAAAAAAACCCGACTCCGCTTTTCATATTACTAGGTTTTAAACCCGCACGCATCACACGGACTACATACGTATAATTTAAAAAAAAATATTATTAGTTTTAAAATTAAATATATTTTATTTTATTTTTGAATTTATAATTCACATCTTAAATTAAAATGATAAATAGTTTTTAAAAATATGATAAATGATCGCTTTTATTAAAAAAAATACAAACTAAAATTATACCATATACGTGTGATATATGTATTTTATCATAATAATATTAGTTCAACAAACCATATAAAATTGGTTCTTATTTAAATAAATATGAGTTAGGGATCATTTAGTTGGACCTTTTTATTTAGTTTGACTTGTATTTTGTTAAATTTGTTTCTTAGTATTTTTATTATCGCAGACCAACCTAAACATTTTCTTTCTGTGATGCAAATATTGATTTATTTTCTCATACATAAAAAATCTATCGTAAATCATGCACATTGAAAACAACATATTTGGTTTGGATCTATTCAATTTCATATACGTCGAATAATTTGTATACACATTGTTATCAATTCTTAAATTATGTATTCTACAAAATTCCGTATTATTAATCCAAAAAAAATTAAACATTTTAATGCGTGATTCATCTAAAATTCACCAAAAAATTATATTCAATTTTAAAAACATGTCTATAGAAATTATATTTTCATAAAAAAATATATGAAATTTTATTTAAATTCAAATCAGAAATAGATGTAAAATATTCAAAATGTTTTTTGTATATGTTTAAATTACGTGTAGCAATTTTGCGAACTAAACATACATTTTTTAATAGAAGAGAAAAATATCCACGAAATAAAAAAAGAATTCAAAAGGTATATGGAGAAAGTCGATTTTTATTTTTAAAAATGATTTTGTTACCATATTACAACTTTTATTGAATTTTTTCCCACCAAAATCAATATAAAGAATAATTATAACGAAGAATTAATATATTTATGAATAAGTATAATCGTAAATATTTAATGCATTTATTGATTCGTGAATGAATAACGAATTAATTTATGGAATTTTTCAATGCATTTCTAAATCTATATATATTAATAAAGAAGTTTAAAGAGATTTGGTGAAGCCACCTCATCATCCACATAATCATCCATGTGGCAAATTTATAAATTTTGATTGGTCATTCAAAATTTCCATTATAAATATATTTTGGAGTAAATGGAGAATTAAATAGAGAACTTCATTATAGTTTTATTACTAAACGGTTATGGTAAAGAGTTAATAGAGAAATACAATAAATATAGTAAACAACTGAAAATAAAACAAAAACTATATTTATACTAGAACGTGGGTTATGCTAAAGAGTGAAGAAAGAAATACATAATATTTAATAGAGTAAACAATTGAAACGGAAAAAAATGTATTTATGCTAGAGGTCGACAGTTCTCATTAATATCGTAGTCATTATATCACTTTTCTAAGGGAGAAATTCATATTAGCTTTATTACATAAAGAAGAAACGGGTATAATAAAGAATAAATAGAGAAATACATAATATTTAATAGAGTAAACACTTGAAAAATAAAATAAAACAAGAAACGTATTGAAACTAGAACGTCGTGGTTATTAATATCATAGTTACTATATTACTTTTCTAAGTTCTGCGGTTTCGTTCGGAATCTTCATATGTTGTTGAATCAATCCGTCCCGGACGTGCGGCAGAATGAATCGGCGAGTGATTTTAGAGCATCGGAGAAGCGCGGCAGCGGAGGTACACCACTCACCAGAGGATATCTACATGCGGTCGAAGCTGGAGGCTTCTGCGACGAACACGGAGAGCTTCTTCATATGAGGCAAGTACGTCATGTGACCGATGAAACAACAATCAGCAGGGTGATGTCTCCTCCGTCACGTCTGAGGTGATTTGGATACTTTTTGCGGTTGATTTCGGTGATGATATGAGGTGTTAGCGGATTCCAGTTTTCTCTAATTCGATTGTTCATTCATTCATAGGGTTTCGGAAGACTGTCTCTGATCGTTGCATCTACAGCTCAATCAGTAACGGATGTTATCTGTGTAGCAACCGAGAGTTCATAGTCAAGATACATAACACAACATTTTTTGGTTTTGTGCTATGTTGTGTTTCATTATTTCCGAGAGATGCGAAAAACCTAAACTTAGTTGACCTATGAGAAACCAAGATTCTCAAGCTCAAACATCAACTCTCTGTCTCATTCTCTCTTTCTCTATCTCATTGTCGAAAGAGAATAGAGATAGAACCAGAAACCAAACAAGAAGAATAATATACCACTTCCATGTTTTGGCCGTTGATGATAGTTTCATTGAGGAAGCTTCTTCAGAAACCTTTGACAGTTTCTTCTTACCATGATGTCTCCCTTTCTCTTGATTACATACACGAACTCATCATACATATATATATATATATGGGTGTGTGCAGATCCTATATTTCATGTATATACCGCCATATGCATATATGTATTGAAAATATGGGCGATGATAGAAGAACATACATTATGTATGCATGTATGTATGGTTGGTTGTATGTATGTATGGTTGGTTGTGTGCAGTGACCATACAATTTCGGTTACTATATATAAAAGGTGTATACCAAAAGCCCATCTAAAATAATGCCATTGCTTTGATCAAATAATGTGTTTGACATTCGATATTATGAACTGTGTCGATCATACCTTAAATTCATTTAAATGTAATAAATTACTTTGAATATTTTGGGGTAATGTGAAATGTTGAAAGGAGCAAAGGTAAACTTGATCATGATAGACTACATGTCTGGGATGAGCGGCTATGATTTACTCAACATAATCAAGGTAGCATTTACTATTATTATTATTATGGCCAACCAAGGTAAGATATACTAAGATGTAATAACACTAATGTACGGACAAAAAAATGATCATAATAAGTCAACTTAACTTTAAGACAAGAAGAAGAGAGATTTTGTTTTTACAAAAATATTTGAAAATCATGATTCTTTTGTTAAAAACTAATGGAAAACCAATAGAATTTGTGTCAACTTGGAATAACTCTATTCATCCGGTTGTTTTAAAATTAAATTTAGATATCTATAAAATTTAAAATTTATTTTCAATGATTTTTTTATATAACTTTAGTGTCTAGATTTTGTAAAAATAAAATTTAATATAAATCGAAAAAAGATTATAAAATTATTTGTGATCGTGAATGTACAATATATATTTAATAACAAATTACAAAGTTGTTGTTATAACTTGGTCGAACCGGAGATATCATTGCATAATGGAGGAAGCAAGTTAATTGCTAAATTTCCTATAAAATCCACATAGAGGTTTTCAATCCTATACACCAGGTAAGAGCCATAATAGATAGAGGGATACGAGACATTCTTATATCTTTGCAGAAGATAACCCATTTGACTGAGAATGAAGGATTTCAACTATGGAACCGCGAAACTTTAACTCATTGAATTATGTTGTGAGCGTAGAAATAGTTATTTTAGAATCACTTGCACATGAGATCCCAAGATTATTTTGTAATGACTGACGATATATAGTATTTATACACTGGTTTTTTCTCTATAGATAAATACAACAATCACATTACACCAAAAAACATTTTGGTTGAATTGAACAAATGATACATGGTTGTGGTTAAAATTCAAAGTATATAATATTATATTAATAATTTTTTTATTATAGACGATTTATGATTGTAGATGTACAATAAAGGAGATAACAATTTAAAAAAAATTATATTAAAATAAGTTATTAATGTCTGTATATATAGATTTATTTATTAATTTTATTATTTATTTTATTAATTTATTATTTTTTAATTTTTATTTATTCATAAAATTAAATAATATTTTTAATGATAAAATATAAAATAGATATAATAAAATTTAAATTTAAATTTGAGTTGAATTATTCAAAGCGAATTTGAAAAAAAATTAATAATTACTAATCTTATAAAAGTATAAAATAATAAGAAATTTAAGAAGAAAAACATAAATAAAACATATGTTAGAAAGATTCAACTTCTTTTATATGAAATATATTTAAAAAATAAAAGGAAATAAATACAAACTTATCAATTTTTTGATGGTGAATATATATAAACTCTTTTTATCCCAAAATAAACCTAAATTTTTATAAACATGTCTTTTTCAACCTTCATTATTGATGAGAGGTGATAAGTCAAATTTTTTCGTTGGACTGTATTGTCACGTTAGCAACACCTAATTATATATTATATGCCATATTTATTCTTTAAAAAATATTATTAGAGTTTTTGGTAAAAAAAAATCACACTATAATATTTTAAATATAAAAAAATAATCAAATATTTTTCTCTCTCACTACACCATATACTTATTTGACGGATATTATTGGAGTATAAGTCATAGTAGAATGATCAAATTTACAAATCGTGTCATCAAATCTTGAAAATTGTTATTCGTTTATTACTTCTAAACGTTATAATTCAGTTGAAATCTATATAATTCAAAATATATATATCTCACGTAATTAATTTCGAATAAACTAATTTTTTCTAATTTTAAAGAGATAATTTGACAACAAAAAACCTGTAAATTCAAAATTTATTGACAGTAATTACTAAAACATATATAAATCTCCAAAATACATATAAGGAAAAATAGCTGATAATATATATATATATATTTATATATATAAATGTGTATATATATGAAAGTATGTATTTTTATATTTTTATGAATATATCTATATATATTACATATATATTACTGTTTTTATTGAAGTTTTTCCGAGCGATAATGATT